TCACCTTCTGGGTGAACGGGGAGGCGCAGGCCAGGCAGGCTCTCTCCGGAGTGGCCGGACTGTCCAGAGCAAACGGCCCCGAGAGGCCGGACGCCGAGCGGGCCGCCGCCACCGCGTCCTTAATGGCGAAGAACACCGAGCTGCCCAGGAAGATGATGGGCTCCCCGATGCCCTGCGAAGCCAAACAGCCATCAGAAGGGTCCCAAACAGACTGTGAAGGCTGGAGAAGAAGGAGGTGCTGCTCCTCACCTTTGAGGAGTAGATGGCGTGGGGGTTGTCAGAGTCGGGCAGCATGTAGACGTTAAAGGAGAGGGGAACGTCGCACACGGCCGGGATCTTGTACTGAGATGGACCTCGAGTGTACAAAACCCCAGTCGGGGAGAACTTCAGCTCCTCCAAAGTGTAGAGACCCAATCCCTGCATGAAGGCTCCTTCAATCTGAGCAGAGAAGAAGAAGGTGAGAAACCCAACAGGACAGGAAGGCTCAGGGCAGCAGACGCCTTCCAGCTGTTTGAAATGAGCTCGAGTTCATCTATGGACACCACAGATTACCCTTCATCACACTAGAGCTGACATACTGACACATTTACGCATTAGGCCAGATGAAAAAGGGTCCGCTGGACAGAAGGACGCTGTTTAACGATGCCCTTTGGCCTAACGTACCACCGTTAGCAACCTTGGAGTCATCCATCACTATCTCGTAGAGACACAGAAAAACTGTTTATCTGTGAGATTGTACAAGTACTCTAAGCACTTTGTAGGATCCCAGGTTTTAAGATTTTAGCTGAATTCAGCTATTCAGGTTAGCGGCTGTCACATCAGTGAAAGCCAGTGCTTTTATCACAACAGTTACATTAAGATAATTACACATTTTAAACTGTTTAGCGGCTGAAGGAGAGCCTGATTGGATGGAGGCAAAGAAAGGCACAACACAGTATCATCAGCATAAACATCAACTGGCATTTTAGCTGCTCCATTATATTAAAAGATTTAACAGAGGAGCTACGACATCGCTACACTGTGCACATTCATACCTGCTAATCATATCATTATCATCCTAATATTTTATTTGGAAGTCTTTATGATTGAAGTTTAAAGGATGGACCCACCTGGCCGAAGTCCACGGAAGGGTTCACGCTTCTGCCCATGTCGATCACGATGTCGGTCCTCACGGTCTGGAAGAAGAAGGAGGAAATGAGCTGGACGCCTCTTCTGATTGGTCCTGCTAGCATGGGGGGGGCAGGCTGACCCGGTAGTCTCCGGTGAGGCAGTCCAGCTCCACCTCAGAGCAGCACGTCCCAAACGTGTAGTAGGCGTACGGCTGGCCCTCCATCTTGTCCCAGTCCATGTACAGGTCTGGACCCCTGGACACACAGCAGCACGCGGCTGACCGCTCCTCTGTTCTCACACACTCCCACCAGCCGACCGGGGTTTACCTGAAGTATCCGGTGGCCGAAAGGCTGATCTTCTCAAAATACGCTGCATTGATCTGCCAGCAAAGCAAGAAAAAAAACTACTCATCAAAATGTTTGGAGCCCACCAGGAGCTGCTCTTATAGCCCAGTGTTTTTCAACCACTGTGATGGTCAGGTGTGCCGTAGAAAATTAAGGAATTAATTATCTGCAAATAATACGCCATTTTTGAGTGTCTGTGCTGTGCTGGTGGCGTAATCATGTAATAATTCCTTATGACTAGATTTTGTATATCATTTTGTATATTGAGGTGGACATGTTAAGAGCAATTTGAAAGAAGAAATATAAAATATGATAAAAAGACAAGACAATTAAGATAAGATAAGAATAACTATAGTGTTGGGCCACAGCGTAGCCCACTGGTTACAGCGTGTGGAGCCCCTCTTTATAAGCGGGCGCCTGGGTTCGATTCAAGCTACTGTCATTAAACGCCAGTAGAGCCAACAAAATCTTTGAAAATAAAAAGAATAACTATACTGTTACTGTAGGTGGCTACACATTTGTTTGACATTTTTGGTTAGTGGTGTGCCTCGTGATTTTTTCAATGAAAAATGTACCTTGGCTCAAAAAAGGTTGAAAAACACCGTTATAGCCAATCCTACCCAGCTTTCCCATGATCCCTTGGGGTCCTTCAGCCTGACGGGCTCCAGCCTCTGGTAGAGCGTCTCACAGGCGTCCTGCCAGAGAGACACAGGTCAGACTGAGCTCCTGCAGGCCGGTCGGCAGCAGCAGAGAGCAGACGCCACCTTGACCGCCATGCCGTTGGCGTCGGTGCCGAACGAGGCGGCGGAAGGACACGTGTTGGGAACGGTGCCGGTGCTGGTCTCGCTGATGTAGACCTTGGAGGTCGGGACGCGCAGCTCCCGGCTCGCCACCTGTCGGAGAACAGACGGCTTCATTAAGGCTTCAGGAAAAGGATGCATTTCCTTTGTCGTAAAGGATAGAACAAAACTTTATTGATACCCGGAAGAGGACATTCATGATGTCACAGCAGCAACAAATACAAGACCGAAAAAAAACTAACAGTGTCTAAAAGCCAACAATAATAACTAAAAACAAAACCTCGGAAAATCAGGTCATCTGTGATCATAAAGACTTTCAGAGAAAATATTTGGATGATAATGATCTGTTTATTAGGTATGAATGTGCACAGTGTAGCGATGTCGTAGCTCCTCTGTTAAATCTTTTAATATAATGGAGCAGCTTAAATGCCAGTTGATGTTTATGCTGATGATACCGTGTTGTTCCTTTCTTTGTCTCCATCCAATCAGGCACTCCTAAACCGTTTAAAATGTGTAATAATCTTAATGTACCTGCTGAGATAAAATCACCGACTTTCACTGATGTGACAGACGCTAACCTGAATATCCTACAAAGTGGTTTGAATACTTGTAATATCTGTGTATTAATGACCTCAAGTTTTCTTTTCTCTTTTTGTTCTTATTTGCATTTGTCTTACCTTACTTCACAAAAAATACCATAAATAAAAAGTATTAAAAAAATACTTGTAATATCTCACAGATGACAGACAGGTTGATGTTTAAACAGAGCAGAGGATGGAAACAGGAAGCAGAGTGACTGTAATTGGTCAGAATAACCCATTACTTAATACATAACAGATGTCCTGCCTCATCTTAAACACAGAAAGTTTGAAAAACCGAACATTTGAGCTTGAAACTGAGCCTGTAGAAGTCCGTATGGACCAAAAGGTGGAACATCACACACAGAAATCCGCCTGACACAGTAATTAGGTGTGTTTTCGGCCTCGTGGGAAAAGTCCTGCCTCGGTACCTGCTGCATCTTGGTGTGGATGCCCTGACCCATCTCCGTCCCGCCGTGCGTCACCAGAACAGACCCGTCTTTGTAGATGTGGACCAGAGCGGCCCCCTGGTTCAGGAAGCCCTCAGAGAAGGCGATGCCGTATTTGATGGGGACGATGGCCATGCCCCTCTTCCTCCAGCGGCTCTGCTGGTTGAACTGCTGGAGGGCGGAGCGGCGGCCGCTGTAGTCACTCCTCCGCTTGCACTCCTCCCAGCAGCGCAGCATGTTCTCCGGGCTGAACTCAAACTTGTAGTGGGTGATGGACGGGCCCTTGTACATGTTGATCTCCCGGATCTGCCGGCAGATTTCACACACACAGTAGGCCGGCCCCGATCTGATATTTGACCTATATCTAAAATAGTATCTAATCATCTCTGATCCCTCTTTTCCCTAAAAACAATTTACCTTAAATGCATTGATTTGAATGCAGTTAAAAGCTGGTTTGTCTGATTCAGACTAAAGCAATTCATGCTTTACATTCAGCTCTGCAGCATCATGAATCTAACAACAGAAACCTCTCTAGTAGGCTGGTCCCGATCCCATATCTGGATTGGATCAGCCTCCGATATTTGCAGATAAACGCGTATCAGCCGACAGGAGAAAATGCAGATCCAGACTCCCGATCCAGTTTAAAAAAAAAAGAAAGTCTGATCCGATTTCCATCCATCCCGCTTTTCTGTGTTGTTCCCTAATATCCGGTCCTTTTCCAGCACACCCTTAAGCATTAGCATTAGCATTAGCATCTCCTGACCCACAGGTCTGTGTCCTAACCATTAAGACGGCCATGTTGATTTGAAGCTATCAGTAAAAATGTCATCTGTGTGGGATTATTTTATCCTATTTTGTGTTTCTCCCTAAACAAACAGGTCTCTTTACGAACCAGTGTGTATTATTCAAACTCAGCTAATTCAGCTGGATAGTTGTTATCAGAGTAAATCCCTTTTCTGACAACTAAGTAAGTAGGCTAAATAACTTTTATACTTTAGTACATGCTCTGATAGGCCAGGATCGGTATCAGAAGTGAAAACAGCTGGACCGGGAGGTCCCTAGGCAGGATGGACATTAACCTGGTCTGCGGGGCGTCCCAGCAGCAGGGCCACGTCGTTCAGCATGTTCTCCACCACCAGCAGGCTCTGCGGCACCCCGAAGCCCCTGAAGGAGGTGTTGGAGGGCAGGTTGGTCCGGCAGGCGGCGGCCCGGCCCCGCAGGTTGGGGATGTTGTAGGCGTTGTCCATGTGCAGCAGAATCTTCTCAACAATCTGAAAGCAGCAGGAAATCATTGCTGACTCTTTGTTCATCTGCTTTGGCACTTAAACCTGCTGATTTAGGTTAACAATTCGAGAAAAATAATGCATTTAATGGCAGATTTCTCCCCTCTGGTTGTGCTGGTGGACTACTCCCTCCAGCCCAGCAGGGGGCAGAAGAGCGCCTCCACTCACCAGAACAGACTCGTCCACAGCAAAGCCGGCGTTGCTGAAGTACTCCAGGTCTGCAGCCACGATCCTCCCGTCCTCCATGAAGCCCACCTGCAGCCAAAGGCACGAAGAATGAATCTAACACGTGACAAAAACTTTTTAATTAAAAAGAGGAACAGATTTCACTGACAAGCCGAGAGCTCCTTCATTTAGAGCCACCAGGAGAACAAACCCAAGGCCTTTCCTGAGGGTTAGAAATGAATAAAATTGCTGGGTTTTTCCAAACCCAGCAAACATAGCAGTACCTTTCTGCACCATGAGGGGACAGTACAACCAGCAAAATGAACAAAGAAGAAGACAAAAAAGAGAAACCTTTAGGTGCTTTTTTGGATTGTGTGGAGAACTAAAAACCTCTTTTTCTTTCTGTTTATGTAAAGATTTATTTTGGTTATCCTCTGATCCTCACAACTGGACTCTGAAGGTAAAAACCAGCTGAGTCTGAACTCACAGGCTGCTGGATGCCCCCCCCCCCCTGCACCTTGTATGTTGCCCGGACAGGATGGCGTCCTCCAGTGATCAGCATGTCCTCGCCTCTCTCCAGAACACAGCGGACCGCACGATTGGTCCTAAAAACAACCAGCGTTTAGCTCATAAACCCCTTAAAACCCTTTTGGTTTCTTCTGGGTCTGGACTTACTTCCAGGCAGCCACAGAGGTGATGGAGGCCAGGATGGAGGTTTTTATGACCTTCCCTCCAAAGGCCCCCCCCAACCGTTTAACGTGGCAGGTGACCCTGTTCGCTGGGATGTTCAGCGTCTCTGAGATGGCGTCCTGCAGGAGGGAGAAGTCTCTCAGCTCTGCTGTCCCCAGCCTCCAGAGTAAAGGCAGGAGTTTGGTACCTGAATTAAAGCCGGCCACTGAGTGGAGATGTAGACGTTGAACTCGGTCTCCTCCCCCACAGGAACCACCAGCATGCTCTGGGTCTCCATGTAGAAATGCTCCTGGCCCCCGATCCGAATCCCTCCTGATGAGGGGAGATGGACATAAACGTGTTCTCATTTACAGAAAGTATAAAAAACAAACCACTCATGCTCCTTCCGGCTCTGAGGCGTTTACCTTCGTGAATGCGGTCGGCTTTAGTGAACGCCTCCTCCACGCTGCCCCTCTCGATGACCCGCCGCGGCTGGAAGAACGAGGCCTTCTGGACGGCGTCCTGCCACACAAACAGGCCTCAGCACACACACACAAACAGGCCTCAGCACACACACA